ATCCTTCTCTCACAGGTGCCAGCAAGGAGTCGTCTTTCTCTTCACCCCCAGCTCGGGGACTCTTCGCTTCTTCCAAAGTTAAGGCCGCTGAATCAACCTTAGGCTTTTGAGTTTTAGCCTTCTTTGGTTTCGGGGACTTAGTCGGAGATTTTCTTTTTCTCTTATTCTCCTTGGTAAGTTTTGGGGCATCTACCTAGGGGTGGACATCGGTCGGTTCGGTTCGGTTGTGAATATTATCGGTTTACAAATATGATAAACCGATAACTGAACCGATAAGATATCAGTTATTGGTTATCAGTTAATCGGTTATTGACCATTATCGGTTCGGTTATCGGTTTAACCGATAAAATAACTCAGTCTAGAGTTAAGCAAATAAAAGAAGAAGATAATTCACGGGAGTTAAGCAAAAAGGAGAGAAGAATTCACATATAGCATACTACCCATTTCTGCGTTATGCCTATAACTAATATTTGAACCATGCTTCATTTTGACAAATTCAAGACCTGTACAATCTAAAAAATTGATACTACAACTGCACAAGCATTCCATCTCTAATTCATTGGAAATAGCAATTAACAGGAACATAAATAACAATTTTTTGGTTTCCTGCCAAACCATAATCAAGAAATCAATGTCTTTTTTTAGAGTCTAATTGTAGCAAGAGCAACAAGAGTACTAGTAATTCAACAGTTGTCCAAACACAACTGAAATAGTACTAATTCTTATTGGTTTATCGGTTAACCTGTTAAGAAATTGGGCAAATCGAGGCCTGAACCGATAATCCAATAGTGAAATTTTTTTAAATCGTTAACCCAATAACCCGATATCGATACCCCAATAAGATTTTTTCGGTTTGGGCTATCGGTTATACCCGATATATACCCATCCCTACATCTACCTCCCCGGAGGGGGTTTCCCTCATCAAAGAGGCCTCCCTCAGGCCTGCACAAAAACAAAGGGTGGATACAAGAAATAAGAATACAGTCAAGGGATATCTCCTGTAAAGAGCTCAAGTAAGGCAAAAGAAAAACCTCACCATGATATTTTGCTTCCCGTTGGGCGTTGGCCATACCGTGCCACATGCGCTTAGCATACGGCCAAGTTGAATCAAGTTGGTGAACCCAGCCCGAGAGATCCTTAACCACGCCAGGGTACCACTCAACAGCTACACCATCGAAGGGAGTCAGTTCAAGGGGAAGATGATACAAAGGGAAAAGAAAAAATTTGATTAACATATTCGCTTACGATTCATATTCCATTCCTCGGGGAATGACATCCTTTCAGCGGGAATTAAATCCGAGGTCCTAACTCGGACAAATCGGCTCATCCATCATCTGTGTTTGCCTTCATCGGTGCAAGCAATGAAAGCCTTCGGGGGCCGACGTTGAAGCTTAATTAGACCACCTCAATAAAGTCGGGGGCTGTACATCCTAATCAGATGGTCAAAAGTAAAAGGCATCCCCTCGACCATGTTCATAAAATGCCTAATCATGTAAACAATGCGCTAGAATGATGGATAGATCTGGCCGAGCATCACCCTATATTGACTGCAGAAATCGAGGATCACGGGATCTATCGATAGCGAGGATGGTTCTACCGGACCTAGGGTAAAAGGATATGTGTATACGCTAAGGAAGCCGGGTTTGTGTTTCGTTACATCTTCCTATTGAGAAGGAATCTCCACTTGCAGTACCTCTTCCCAGTGGCAATACGCTTTCACCTTCCCAATGTCGGTTATCAGGCTAATATACCGGGATATGGGTTCGTACCGCCCCGGTTTCGAAGAAGGCTTATCAACTGTAAAATAGGAGGACGTTTCAGAGGGTCTGGGGATGCACTCTTCAAGTCGAGGAGGTACTATGGTCTTATCCTTAGACGAGTGTGAAGATGAAGAAGATTTGTCATCCTGGGGAACGATTCTGGAGGTCTTCACCATTTTTACTGAAAGATCTTAGAGGAAAAGAGAAAAACTGGATGAGAGACGAACACAAGAAAGAAGTGAGAAGATCTGTTGAAAGTTTGGAGATATGAAGAAGAGTAAGGAGAGAAGGATTGGAATATTTATAGAGGCCAGTAGTGTGCGTTGGGGAAATCCAAAGGATGGCTGAATGTCGTAATCAATTCGAGGCTTTTCAAGAGCCGCACAAACGTGACTTTTGAACATCCCTTTTTTGTCACATCAACTGCTCGCATGACATAATTGACGTAATGATGAAGGTATTGAAGAGTTGAATAATTCAAATCGTTCCTTGTTATTTTATTCCAAGGAACGCGGGGACTATCTGTATACGGTCAAAATCAAGGAAGGCCGTTTTTGAGGATTCTATGGTACTTCGAGCCCAGTCTCGATAGGCTCGGAGCATGATCCAGGGCTTATCCCCGAAGCACTCGCCTCGAGAAGGTATACCGAATACCCATCATAGCATACCTCGAGGCAGTATGAAAATCGACGACCATCATGAAAAGGCGGGAAATTCCTAAGGGCACGTGATCGGAACTGACAGGGTCTGCAAGAATAGGACAAATCAGTACTGAGCCATTATACAGCTGTACCAATAGTATTCCCCCTCCTATATAAAGGGGACCCCTGTCATCTTGTAGGGGAGGGGGGGACATATTGAAGACAATACAATATTCTCTGCTCTTTGCTTAAACAATTGTTCTACACATTTATTGCTTATTCTTTCATTGTTCATTCATTGTTCATTTATTGTTCTTTATTTATTGCTCATCATCAACCTACTAAAGGCTACCCTCGAGGACCCACATCGCAGAGCTCGAGGCCCTCATCCTTATAATCACGTTGGTTTGTTTATCATTTCTTGCTCGTTTATGCCTTGCATCATTCATCTTACAACTAGTATTAAAATAAATCATGTATTTTTAGAACCACAAATCAAATATAATTGTAAATACCATTTTCAAGGTAAACAATTTCTCTGTCAGTTCTCTCGTCCTCTCTCCCTTCTTTTCTTATTAAGTTATTCTTCTTACATTTTGTAGTTCTTGAAAAATAATACCATTTGTACCATCCTGCTATAACTTCTGTTTCCTTTCGTGACATCTTTACCCTTCATATCCCATGCCTATTTCTTTCCTTCTTATTATTTCATGTTTTTTTCTTTTTCTTTACTTCATTTGTTTCTTTTTGTATTTTATTCCCTAGGCTATGATAGTAAAGAAAATCAATTTTAACAGATTTTAAAAAATGAACAACTTTTTTTTCAAATATCAACAAAATAAACACCATCATCTTTCCAAATTAAGAGAAGTTTCATCCCAAAAAGAACATTTTGATTCCAATCGTACAGAAGTTGAAAGTAACTCAACCTAGTGAGTTTACCCATATTCTTTGGGCAAATGCTACATAAAAAAGAAAAATTGCAATATATTGATGGCCAACGGAGACTTAGTCAACTTATGATGATTAATGAGTACTAAAATGAAACGTGTATGAGCAAATGTATCATATTCATAGTTCAACTGAATCTAATATTTTTTGATACAAAGCATTACATGTGAAGAACTAATTATTAAAATGTCATTAAATATTGAACCTATAATTTGAAAAGTGCAATGGGTTCAACGGTAAAGAACTTTTAAAGTTAATTATGAAGTTTAAATATTCCTAAATTCATCTCTAGAAACATATCTGAATGAAATGGATGAAATATTAAGGATTTATACAATCGATCAACTAGCTTCGAATTGAAATGTAGTAACTGTACTTTTTTCAAAACCTCATATTAGCGCTATTGTGCTAATGCTAAAAACTTTATTCTTCTACTTAGTTTCTAAATGTATCGAAGTCCTGGCCATCATGAGGAGCGCTCAATGGCAAACCTACATTGCCACTTATAGGTGCTCAAGCACCCATTGTTTTTTTGATTTGAACAATATTTATTCTATGCAGAAAACTAGTAAATGCAGAAGATTTAGCATGCAATCCTAGTAACAAGTACTTCAGATTAAAAATAGCTGAGCATTTATGATTTAAATAAGGATAAGTGTCGAATTAATCCCTTTGCTATATGAAATGTTTACCCTCCGTTGTATTTTTCATCTAAAAATACCCCCGATATTATACATTTGGATTAAATATACCCCTTGATTGGTTATAAGAACCTTGGTTACTAGTACCTTGTCTTATGTTTTGGGATATGGTTCAACTCTCCAGAGTCGAAGGAACAACTGACGAAACAGGTCCCTACCAAGTTCTGAGGTGACTGTAAGAATTCAACTCTCCAGCTGAAAAAGTTGCTGCCTACACACGCTACAATACAGGAACAGTGTAACAGTTAACTTTATGTGGAAGGCTTTTTACCTACCTTGCTTACATCATTATATGTGATGTCACACATGTATTATTAACATCAAGGAAAGTAAACCATATTCACTTGAACAGTAGAAAATTTACTCAATCACTCTAAGTGATTGATCATCAAGAAAAACGATTCTTCTGAGCATCAAGAACAAAGTACGACGCTGCTACAGACCAGTTCCCATATCAAGTTTTTGTATGTCCTTAGTAGAGTTGTAACTTTGTGTTAGTTCTTCAATTGTAATTCCTACTTAGTTTGTTTAGAAGTATTCTATAGGAAACTCTTTGTAAACATTAAACCTTTGTGTTTGAGTCTTGGCTAGAGTTAGTCGAGTTGTAAAGTCTTTGTAATAGAGTTATTACAAAGTGGCTTTTAATAGAGTATTACAAGTTAGTGAGAGAGTAAGATGTTAATTCCTAGATTGCATAGGTTATAATCTAAAAGTTGCTCAATAGTGAAGTTGAAATCCTACAAGGGTAGGTCGTAGTTTTTAATCCCGTTGAGCTGGGAATTTTCCATGTAAAATTCTGCTTGTCATCTACTTACTACAGTGTTCGTGTGTTATAGTAGAACTGATAGAGAACCTGGTTCTCTATAGAGTTTGGTAGACCTTTATATTCTATCAATTGGTATCAGAGCAGGTTCTTTCTATCAGGTCAACACCTAGAAAGGATCCTCATGGATGCTCCTCCAAACTTCGAAGAAGGCCAATCTACTTACAGACCTCTAAGGTTTAATGGTCAATATTATGGATGCTGGAAGACTAGGATGCACAACTTTATCATGGCTGAAGATTCTGAACTATGTGATGTCATATGTGACGGACCCTTTGTCCCTACCAAGAACCTTGGCGACCTAGCTGTAGCCATCCCTAAGAAGAGAATGAATTCAATGACGCTGATCGAATGGGCATATAAAAGAACTTTCGTGCAAAGAAAATTCTTGTTTGTGGCATTGGTCCTGATGAATACAATAAGATATCAGCATGTCAATCAGCAAAAGAAATCTAGGAGGCTCTTCAAAGAACTTACATGGGAACAACAGGTGAAGCAATCCAAGATTGATATGCTCACAACTGAATACAAGCTCTTCAGAATGAAAGATAATGAATCCATCCAAGATATGCATACTCGATTCACCTCCATTATAAATGAGCTTCACTCACTTGGTGAAATTATTTCGAGAAACAAGCTTGTCAGTAAAATCCTTAGTGTACTGCTCAGTTCTTGGGAAAGCAAAGTAAATGCAATAACAGAGGCAAAGGACTTGCAGACACTGACCATGGATGAACTTGTTGGAAACTTAAAAACTTATGAAATGAAGAAGAAGAAGGACAATGAAAGAAGAGAGCCTAAGAGGAAGAAGATTCTGATCCTTAAGATGGACTGCAATGATTCAAGTGGTAAGGATGGTGATATGGCTTACTTGACAAGAAGATTCCAGAAGATGGTTCGCAGAAATGGACCTCTAGCAAGCCAGGACACTTAATCAAGGATTGCCCTCTCCTAAAGCAAGATCAGTATAATAACAACTTTAACAAAGCAGCCAAAAGAAATCCGGTTCCTGATAAACACTTCAAGAGAAAGTATGACGCTGATGATATTGTAAAGCAAGCTCTTGCTGTATGGGGAGACTCCTCTAGCGAATCTGAAGATGAAAATGATCATGGTGTTAGTTCAATGTTGGTAGTGGAAAATAAAGAAACTGAGTATGATTCAATCTTTGCTTTGATGGATCAGTCTGATGATGAAGATGACGACGATGATGAGGTAAATTTTCTGGATGTTAAGAGAAATGTGAAATCTTATTCTCCTAAGAAACTCATGTCTTTGGAAAATGTATTAATTGATGCTTATCACAGTCTTATAAATGACAAAGATGCTTTAATAGTTGAACTAGGAGAAGCAAAACAGTCTAGAGATGACCTTGTGGTAGTTGCAGTTGATTTAAGGGAGACAATTGAGAACCTGAAGAAAGAAAAAGATGCCTTAGATGAAAAAATTGCAAATGTAGAATAAGAAAGAGATGATCTCATAGTTGTTGTGGTAGACCTAAAAGAGACCACTGAGTGTATAAGTAGGGAAAAAGAAGTCTTAACTAAGAAAGTTGCTAACATCAAGCATGAGAGAGATGACCTACTAGTGGTAGTAGTGGACTTAAAGAAAACTATTGGGGAACTTAAAATGGAAAGTATGCCTGAAAATTCTCAAAAAGGGAAGGAAGTTGCAAGCGAAACACACATTAAGATTTAAAATAAGTTAACTTTAGTGAAAACCAATCTGTGTGCTGAGCTTGAGAAAAACAAACAGCTTTAGGAAGAACTAGGAAAAGTGAAGAGTGATCTTGAAAATTCTCTTAAGTGGACTTGGTCCTCTTATGCTATTACTGCTATGTATGTTATCAATGGGGGACACATGTGTTGACCCAAAAGGTCATCACTTGTTTTAGAAATAAATTATGCATTCCGAGGCCTTAAAAACTACTTCCAGCATCACCTTGATTTGCGTGTACAGTTCGGCGCGTAGCCGGAAAGCCAATATGTAAAAATCTGTGAAAAATGATGAATTCTGACTTTAATGTGAATTAATTTGACTTCGGTCAACATTTTAGGTAAACAGACCTGGACCCGTGATTTGACAGTCTCGGAGGGTCCGTAGGAAAATATGGGACTTGGGCGTATGCCCGGACTCGAATCCCGAGGTCCCAAGCCCGAGAAATGAATTTTTGAAAGAAATTGTTTTATTGAATTAATTATGAGTTTTTGAAAGTGAAATGTGTTTGAACCATTGGTATCGAGACCGTATTTTGGTTTCGGATCCCGGTACTGGTCTTATATATGATTTAAGATAAGTTTGTGAAATTTGGTAATAAACGGACTTGAGATGACGTAAATCGGATCATATTTGAGAAAATTGGAAAATTTGAAGTTCTTAAGAAATTTCATGATTTTGATGCTAAATTCATAGTTGTTGATGTTATTTTAGTGATTAGAATGCATGAGCGAGTCTGTATGATGTTTTTAGGTTGGTGTGCATATTTGGTTTGGAGGCCCGAAGGCTTATGTGAGTTTTGGATAGGCCACAGGGTGGATTTTGGACTTGGAGAGTTGCAGGTTTTCAGCTGTTTCAGTGCAGGCCTGTAGGCGTCGCATTTGCGAAGCCTGGCTCGCAAATGCGAGGGCCATGTCGCAAATGCGAAATGTAGCCCAGGCAATTGTAGCCCAGGCCAGCCTATCTCGCAAATGCGAGGGCCATGTCGCAAATGCGAAATGTAGCCCAGGCAATTGTAGCCCAGGCCAGCCTATCTCGCAAATGCGAGGATTCTATCACAAATGCGATCCCACTGGTTTTAGCCTGTCGTCGCAAATGCGACAAGTTGTTTGCAATTCCCAACTCGCAAATGCGAACTTAGCAGAAGCCTGGGTTCGCAATTGCGAACCCTGATTGCAAATGCGACATCTACAACCTGCAATTTTATAACTTAGCCGAAAATCTTTCATTTTTCACACTCTTTCAAAACCAAAACACTCTTGGAGGATTTTTCAAAGACAACTTTTCTTCCAAATCGATTGTAAGTCAATTTTAATTCGTTTCCTTCAATCATTAACATCTTTTCACATGATTTCAACTCAAAATCAATGATTTTCATGGGGGAAATTGGGTGTTTTGGGTAGAACCTAAGTTTTTCAAAAATTGGGGATTTGGACCTCGATTTGAGGTCCAATTTCAAAACAAATTATACATTTGGGTTAGTGGGGGAATGGGTAATCGGGTTTTGCTTCGAACCTCGGGTTTTGACCAATTGGGCCCGGGGGCAATTTTTGACTTTTTGGGTAAAACTTTGGAAAAGCTTATTTTCATGCATTGGCATTGTTTCATTTAGCGTTTATTGATGTAATTAAGTAACTTGTGGCTAGATACGAGCAAATTGGTGGTGGAATCGAGAGGTAAAGTGATAGTTGAGGCTTGAATTGTGTTCGTAGTATCGAGGTAAGTGTTTGGTATAACCTTAGCTTGAGGGATTAGGAGTTGTGTTGTATTTGCTACGTGTTAATTGTGGAGTACGACATATAGGCATGGTGAGGAGTATCTATACGTCGGTGTCAAGCATGCCCGTGAGTCTTGTATTGTAATTGTTATGACTCCATCGTAGTTTATTGCGCTTCACATGTTATTATCATGATTGTTCCCTTGCCGAGATGTTATTATCATAATTGTTCCCTTACCGGGATGTTATTATCATTATTGTTCCCTTGCCGGGATGTTATCTTGATATTATTGTTCCCTTGCCGGGATGTTATCTTGATATTATTGTTCCCTTGCCGGGGTGTTGTTTAAATATAATTGTTCCCTTGCCGGGATTCTTTTGTTATTGTCGTTGATTTGTAAATGGGAACGGGTGGCATGCCACCACGAAAATATATGAAATTGGAGTGGGTTGCACGTATGCAACAAGATATATGAAATGGGAGTAGGTTGCACGTCTGTAATGAGATATATGAAATGGGATCGGGTTGCACGCCTGCAACAAGATATATAAAATAGGAGCAGGTTGCACGCCTGCAATGAGATATATGAAATGGGATCGGGTTGCACGCCTACAACAAGATATGTGAAATGGGAGCGGGTTGCACGCCTGCAACGAGATATATGAAATGGGATCGGGTTGCACGCCTACAACAAGATATGTGAAATGGGAGCGGGTTGCACGCCTGCAACGAGATATATGAAATGGGATCGGGTTGCACGCCTGCAACAAGATGTGAAATGAAAGTGAATTCTGCATTTGTATTCCTTATCCTTATTAGTAATTGGATTTTGGTTTCTTTATATTCTCTTGATATTCTGTTGTTATCTATTATTCCCCGAAATATGTTTCCCCTGCCCAAATTTTAACTGTAATTACCTACTTTTATATTTCCGATGTATATGATTTAACTTCACATGTTTATTTGGTAGTCTGGTCCTAGCCTCGTCACTACTTCACAGAGGTTAGGCTAGACACTTACCAGCACATGGGGTCGGTTGTGCTGATACTACACTCTACACTCTTTTGTGCAGATCCTAGTGTTGTAGGCTTTGGACCACAGTGAGGTTGTCGCCTTTAGTCCAACAGGTGACCCGAGGTAGTTCTGCAGGCGTCCGCGGGTCTTGGCATCACCTTCTATCTTTCCTCTATCCTATTTTCTTTACTTATTTCAGAAACAATGTATTTTTTATCTTTCAGACTTTGTATGTAGTATTCGTAGATTGACTGTGAAACTGTGACACAAATTTTGGGTAGAGTTGTATTTAGACTTCCGCAGTTTGTATTAAGATAAATTATCAGATTTCGTTTTCCGCTTAATTATTTTTGCTATTTGCATGATATCTACTCATCACTGATAATGGTTTAAAATTGGAAAAGGTTAAGTAATTAGATTAACTTGGCTTGCCTAGCTTTCACCAGTAGGTGCCATCACGACTCTCGAGGGTGGGAAATCCGAGTCGTGACAACAGGCAGGGAATTTTGGTTTCAAAGGGAGAAGACTCCCTACAACCCTCATAACAAGTATATTACTGTACCCGACAATTGGCTATGTACCCACTATGAAAACAACGAGTACCTCAAGGAAAACTGCAAGGCCAGGGTTCAGTCTTATCAGAGAAATAAAGTCTTTGCTGAGAAAGTAACTACTGCTAGAGGACCTGGTCCCTCACATAAAAAACACATGATGCCTGCATGGACCAAAAGATCCCTCATTCACCCCTTTTCTCATTACAAGGGACCCAAACTAGTTTGGGTTCCTAAGTCTAACTCCTGATTTTCTTGTGCAGGGAATAGTGAAAGGAAACAGCATACAAATGGTACATGGATAGTGGTTGCTCAAAGCACATATCTATAAATACAATCGATTTCCTTTCACTGAAAATCCTGCAAAGAGGGAGTGTATCCTTTGGGAATGGCTAAAAGAGATACATTCTAGGAGTTGAAAGGATTGTGAAGTCACTCACTCAATTAAGAAAGTGTACTATGTCAATAACATGAAGTACAGTCTCTTGAGTGTTTCTCAGATATGTGACAAGGGAAATAAGGTAGAATTTTTGTCCAAGATATGCACAGTCACAAATCTTGTGATTGGCAAAGTGGTGTTTGTGGCCAAAAGATACAAGAATATTTATGTTGCTGTGTTTAAGTCTCTGCAAAGCGGTGATCTAATTCATTTCAGAAATGTTTATGATAATGCTGAACTATGGGACAGAAGGCTAGGATATGCAAGCTTTTTATTAGTGAATAAACTGGTCTAGAAGGACCTGGTTCGCGGTCTGCCCAAGTGGAGCTTCAAGGAACACAAAGTGTGCGATGCTTGTGCAAAAATAAAGCATGTCAGATCTTCATTTAAGCCCAAAAAGGAAGTCAACACCTCAAGTCCACTTGATCTTTATTATATGGATCTATGTAGACCGATGTGGGTGCCAAGCAGAGGAGGAACAGGATATATCTTTGTGATAGTGAATGACTACTCCAGGTTCACTTAGACTTTGTTCCTCTGAACCAAGGATGAGACTTTTCAAGTATTTGTGGTCTTTGTCAAGAATATCTATGTAAAGATGGGAACAATTGTGGCTTGCGTCAGATCAAATCATGGGACAAAGTTTGATAATGCCAGATTCGATGAATTCTATAGTGAAAGTGCGACTACTAACCAATTCTCAGCTCCAAGAACACTGCATCAAAATGTAGCTGTGAGAAGGAAGAACAGGACTCTTGAAGATATGGCGCGATCAATATTAATTGATAGAGGGATTAAAAATATCTTCACAAAAGTTGCTGACTCATTTGAGGACATTTGGCTGCAAATGTTATGTTCTCAATAATGGCAAGAAGCAGCTTGGAAAATTTGATGCTAAAAGTGATGAAGAAATCTTCCTAGATTACTCGTCTAAAAAGGGACAGGAATGATGATCAAGATGGAGAATCCTTACTAGTTCCAAGTGAAGTTATTAACATGGCAATTATGAAGGCAGATATAATGAGT